ATGGCATTCTTCAATTCATTTGGCAATTTTTTTTAAATCTATTCATTTATTAAGGCTCCATTGCGTTACCTTTGCGGAGTCATATTTCAATGTGAAAACCTTCAATTTTTTATAAAAAATCCACATGAAAAATAGAGGTGGGTTGTCCTCAGTAGGCCAAACAGTTTGTTTTGTAAACTATTTTTGTATACGAATTTTCTGCCATCCAAAACGCTACCATTAACCTCCTGAGGTTGCAACTCCGTGAATGCCATATCACCTGAAATTACACAGAGAACCAACAGATGACTAACTAATATCCTAAACTTGTGACCTCAAACTTTATAATAGACAATAACAGCGTTGGTCGCGTCCGAGTGCCAGTTAATTAAGGAACGGGTAGGAACGTGTTGACATGGTACTCGGATTGTTGGATGCTGAGAAATCCACTGCATTTCTACGATAATCACTGGGATGTTAGATAAAAGGATTATGTTTGCAGCAGGGTTCGTTTTAACAAACGGTGCGCTGATTTAAAATCATTTTCATGTTAAAAAAGAAAGTGACTAGCAAATTTTGATTGAGAAGGGGCCTGAGATCAAACTCATGATATTCTGCTCAGTCAGCAAACATGGTTGCTCTATGGTCTCCGAGCCCCTCATATTACATCATATTGATTTGTTGTTGTAATTAATAAAAACCAGCACCGACGACAAGTTTCACAAAATACACGATGAGCAAGCATTGTGACTATAAATCTCTCTAATATGAAGGGTCCTAGGATTGATCCAACGATTTTATGATCTAAGCAAAAATGGCCCAGTCCGTCATATCACAATACATCACTCATGACTATAGGCGTGCGCATACCTCTTCATTAGGGGGGCCAGCCAATTAATAGGGAGCGTCTTATATCTTAGGTGCTATTGTGGGGCATATTGATTTAAGTGAGACAGAAAGTGGTGTTTGCGCTGTTTTCTGTTTGCGAATAAAACGTTCAAATACTGCATAATGTATTTTTTTTTCCCAACATTTCCAACATGCCTTTTTCCCATAGTGGCAGCTTGCCATGTCCGGCCAGAACAGCACAGGTATATTATGTTGCTTTAGGAATGGTAGCATTCCATTGATTGATGGTTCCCGTAGTAATGAAAATGGCGCTTTTTAGACCACACGTGCATATGGCCTGCCAGACGAGATATGTTTTCTGGAACTTCGATAGTTTGATGGTTTTGAAAATTTCAGCCATCTTATCTTTTCCTGATGCAGTATAAAACTCCTGTCCCAGTTTGGCCACATCCAGCAATTTTGCCAATTTGGCGTGTGAGAACGTCGGATTCTCTTGCTGCACGAGCAAAATTTTGACACACTGCTCCTTTTGCTTGGAAGTCATTTTGAAAACTGGATAGCAAACTAAGAAAACTCATCATAGTAACCATTGTATATACACTCAACTTCCAAATGCAGCATTTCCGGTTTTTTATGCATTTTTAACAGAAATACACCTAAATGAAGTTGACCAATTTTTTCGCGTTCCAGACTTTATGATTACTAAGATTTACAAAATACTCCCAAAGTTTTTATAAATCCTACATTTTTAGGATATTTTCGAGCATATTCTGAGGCGAATTCTGAGGAAATTCTAAAGAAAATTCTTTTCAACATTCCAAAGGACCTTTCATGAAGAAATTAAGCAAATTCTGTCTGGAATGTAGAAAATTGTGAAGTGAATATTTTTTAACATGGAAAAAGAGTTTTCTGCGGAAAAATCCAAGAATGTTTTGGAGAAAGCTTAAAGGGAGAATCCCAAAATTAATTAATAGAATTTTCAAAAGTTTTGGATACTTAAAATAATAAAAAAATCAGAAGGAATTTCCAGGTGAAAAGTATACCATTCCACTACCAAAGGTAAGCAGTAGGACTTCTGAAAGATACTTCAGAGGAAAGTTTGATGAAACTAACGAGAAACTTTGATCTTTGGGCGTAGATGGGAGTTTTTTGAACAATTTTTATGTTGCAGAAAGACGTTCTTTGTTACTATTGATATTTTTGAATTACAGGGTGGCCACCCGTTCAGGAAAAGTGAGAAAAATCTGGGTAACAGTCGAAAATCCGTTTATTCAATCGGGAAATCAGATTTTTTTTTATTTGTATGAATGTAGTCTTTTTTTAATAATGGAACACCCTAATTGAAGAGCAAATTAAATGATAGTTAAATAGAAGGGGAAATGAGTGTCATTTCGGCCTAAATTCCTCTAATTTGAGCCCATAAAAAATTCAGCAAGCGACTAAATTTTCAATAGCGACCAAAAATAACCATGAGTACCGTCCCAATAACGCGTTCAAGCAATCATGAAATTGATAAATAGCAGATTTTTAGCGATGGGCCCAATCTTAGATCCATAGGCCAACATTAGAGCCATTTCCCCTATTCCCCATCTTCTCAAAAATGATTTGTCATCATCATAAAATGAACTTTTAATTGAAACTTCATCAATAGTGATGAAATCGAGCTTCAATTTATTTAGTATCAAAATACACCCAACCGAGTAAAGTAGAATTCTTATACAGCTTTGCATAAAAAAAAATGAAATCTACATTTCTGTTTGAAGAAAATACATTTCTGTCAATTAATAATGATGCATGTTCACTACAGGCTGTTTTGAATACTACCATTAAATTTATCTTAAGAAATATCTATAGAGGACATCAAGTTAAGAGATTTTGTTGTTCTGTGTTAATCGGATTGCTAACTTAGCCAAATTGTGTAAAATTAGATATCAAACTCAGAAATTATTTTAAATATTGAATTTGAAGAATGAGGTCACTAATACACAATTGAGCAAACTTGTCAAAGTTATTAAGTGATGAATTTTGAAGAAGTTTCACTTATTAACATCTAGTGGTGTGTTTCTCAAAACAAAGGAAACCAAAATGATTCTAAAATTTATGAAATAATTTGTCTTTCTAAACTCCTACATTTTTCCCAGCATTTGGAAATGTGTAAGGCAAGAACATTCACGCGTTAAATCAACATTTCAACAATCAAATCCGAGAATTTCAAAATGAAAATTTAGTGGCAACCCTGGAAATCTTTTTGAGGTTGAACTGAACACAAAGGCGTTTTTCGTAGAAGGGCGTTAAGTTTCAATTTACTTTGATGCATTTTCGAAAAATTTAAATGCAGTTTTTTCGACGCATCATTTCAGATTGCGAAAAGCTGCATTTGAATTTTTCAAAAATTCATCAAAGTAAATTGAGCCTTAAGGATGACTATTAAACATAGACCAAAATTTTGGGAGGTCAATGTGCAACAACAGAATATTTGCGTTTTCTTCAGAAATTTGATGGATTTTTTTATGGCAGAAGATGATTTCAGATTTTCTCCCAAATTTGTTTAAAGTGTCTATAGAAACTATTGCTGGTTTTTAAATAGTTTTTCAAGTAAAAAGAGGACGCTTTAAGAAACTATTGATTACCATTGAATATTTAAGGAGGTTGAACTGCAACACTGTGTAAGGTTTCTTTAGAAATATGATTAGTTTTGTTTATGTTTAACTGTGGTAACTGTAAAACTAATAAAAAATCAGTTCTTTTTCGCCGAACAAAACAGTTTTTGACGTAGACGTCTTATGGGAAGATACTGCGGGTAGATCTAAAATCTAAAATTGCGACCGTCACGAAAAGGTGTAAGGTTTTGAAAACTTATAGCTTTGAAATTTACAGATGAAATTATTTCTGTTACACGGTAAAGATTCATAATCGGTGGATAAATTGAACAAGGTGTGGAAAATATAAGTTTACATAAACAAAATACAGTTTTCTGCCACTGTACAACATTTTCAAGACAAATATGTTTTACTTATTTAGAACTATTTAAAAAATCATTTTTGAAAATATCAAGTTAAGTTAAAAAGACAGCTGGCTATGTGTGTGCCATTTTCCATGAATACACCCTCTATTTAAATAAAATTAAAGTTCGTCTCGAATGCTTCAAGCTCCTTGTTTCGTATGTATTGCTGAGTTGGCGGCAGTACATTATTTGCCAGAAACTATCACCCCACTTCAACCGGATCACTAGAGGCTGTTCGTTTCATGAGGCCAGATTATTCGGTTCAATATATGCACGGAGTTATAATATTTACTTAATCTGATTGACCAATAAAAAAAAAATGTAAATGGATAATTAATAAAACCTACACACACAGTTTTGCAATACTCGTCACATAATTTTTTTTATGAGATTTCCTTAGCCTAGTGTCGAGTAACAAATTTAACTGATATCTCAGCCTGCTGAGATTATGCGAAATATTATCCGAAACTCAACAACCACATGTTAGTATAATTAGTAAGGCTGAAGCTTAGCTCTAGTTAATCTCATCATACATTACTGAGCTTTGGAAAATAAAACTACTTGTCTTTTGCGTCATGAACGGTGTAGTAGAAAGAGTTGGAATATTAATCATAATAAATAATGTAATATAACTGAAACATATCGACAGACCAAAGGCAGACAATAAGAACGTTTGCCTAACTAAAAATAAGATTGCCACATTGCCAGTTATGATAAAAAATATGCATTGTAACTAACAAACGTAGCAATTTTCAATGAAAGCTGTGAGTGATAAATTATCTTACGCAGGATATTACACTTTTCTCTGAAATAACGATACAAGGAATAATATAAGCATGTCCCATTGCCCATAAAAGAAGGATAATAAATAGGAATTCAAGTAGAGAAGGGACAGTTATGCTTCTATGGAAAGATAAGTTAATGACTGCAAAATGGCATCACTGAGACCTTAAAGTATAACTGAATTAACCATATTTTCACGTGCTGGCTCATTCTTTTAAAACCAATCTGTGTTCACGATGCACAAAAACGCCTCTCCCTTTCTCTAAATTTGCAATGTTTTTCTTCTCCCTTTTACAGCAAATTGGGTCTCGGTAAGCTGCACGTCTCCTCTAGCCACCACAAGAAGCGATTAGCGGTTGAGTCCCGCCACCACGGTCGACCCGATGACTCACATATGTTCGTGATCAAGCTGCCACCGAATCCCTACTACTACACCAACAATGGACCGGTTCCGGCGCCGAACGCGATCGAGGATGTAGGCAAAAAGGTACGTACATCCGAACCTCTTGAATGCGCACCTACATAGGTATAGCATAAAGGGAAAAATTCCCATTGATTGTCGTGATGCACAGGTTAATCCATAGATTACGGACAGTCAATAGGTCTCCTCACTCTTCGCTAGTGGTCGGTATCACACGCTCATTTGCGTCCATTCAGCCGTGACGAAGGCCTCTTATTCATCGGTGTTTTTATCCCTCATGGGATGTTCAGATTCATGGAAGACGAAATAACAATAAAAAAAAACAAAATGAGCTAGAGAAAACCACAACAACCGAACGACCGATTAGCTATGAACACTCATTCGCCATATCTACAAGTATGATATGGTGTATACAATTTTGTTTGCGAGTTGGATAAAGTAGTCCAAATATTTGCTCAAACTAACGTCAGAATAAAAATGATGCTTGGATCAGGAAATAGTTTACTGTTTTATTATCAATTGATAGCTAATAGCTTCGATAGATAAAATTTTGTTGGATTGGTGACCTTAATAACCCATGATATTGCTGGATGATATTTATGGTCGTTGGTTTGTTTCGTATTCGTTACCATTAAACAATTTGTATTCAAGTTTGAAGTTGTTATTCAGTCCTGGAATGGATCAATTATCTATTATGTTACGGTGTTTCGGTTCTTTTATGATCGTTTTCAAGAACTGGATACATCAATTGAGCTGAAGTAGAAGTCTAGGCTGGCAAAATGTGTGTTTTTTGTGACTTGTTTACTTTTTTTAAGCCGATCATCTAAAGGTTTCAAGTTAATCTGTTTTCAACAAATACTTTCTTTTTTGTTAAAAAATTAATTGATGAACGAATTTTACTGTTCTCAATTAACAGGGGAATTTATTTTTGTGAATTGATATATACGAACGAAGTAGGATAGAACATTAACATGTTCTATATTCAGAGTTGGTTGGAAATGCTAACATGAAGCTTTAGTGTGATGATTTATTAGCTAGAGAATGATCTTTAGAAGAATGTAGGTGGATAGTTCCGTTAGAGTACGGCAGTATGAAAATTGAATAGAAGTTGAAAATGAGCGAAGGGCCATTAAAGCGACAGTTTTCAAGATGACGCACATTTTTGCCTAGCCCGTACGATGTACGCGGGGACTTACGGGCTAGGCAAAAATGTGCGTCATCTTGAAAACTGTCGCTTTAACACTCCGAACACGATGCCTCCGAAAAACGTGTAACGGCAAGTTTGCAACGGCACAACTTAGCCATTTCTAAATGAATTTCAAAAATTATGGTACCTTTAGAATTTCTTAGGTTTCTAGATGATTTTGATTGCAAAAAACTTGAAAATAGAGTCGTCTACTTTTTTAAAAAGCGAAAAGAGTTGTTACACGTTTTTTTGAAAGGTGTGTTTGTAGGGTTTTGCAAGTGGCGCAAGATCTGTAATTTAGATTAATGGGCACAAATGTTCACAATTAGCCAGAATACAGTCATGGTTCCTATATATGGATCCTGGAGACAACGGAACGGTCCTCGAAAAATCCGGAACATCCGTAAAAATGGTCAATCCATGATCCTGATCCTAGAGCTCTGCGGTTTTTTTGAAAACATTAGGAACTGTGATATAAACAAATATTTGGGGTCGTGACATAAACATGAACCTGGATGGCCATGAGACCGTCCTCCGGAAGATCCGGAACATCCGTAAAAGTGGACAATCCATGAATCTGATCCTAGAGCTACGCGTTTTTTTTAAAACATTAGGAACTGTGATATAAGAATGAATTTGGGCTTGTGACATAAACATGAACCTGGATGGCCATCGGACCGTCCTCCGGAAGATCCGGAACATCCATGAAAGTGGTCAAGCAATGAAAATGATCCCAGAGCTCCGCAGTTTTTGAAAAAACACTAAGAACTGAGATGATAGAATGAATTTGGGGTCGTGACATAAACATGGACCTTGATGGGTATGGGACCGGCCTCCGAAAGATCCGGAACATCCGTGAAAGTGGAAAATTCACGAAACTGATCCGAGAGCTCCGTGGTTTTCTTGAAAACGTTAGGAACTGCGATATTAGAATGAATTTTGGATCGTGACATAAACATGGACCCAGATGGCCATCGGACCGTCCTCCGGAAGATCCGAAAATTCCGTAAAAGTGGTCATTGTATGGAACTGATCCTAGAGCTCCACGGTTTTTTTTTCGAAAACACTTGGAACTGTCATATATAAATCAATTTGCAGTCGTGACATAAACATGTACCCAGAAGGCCATGGGACCATCCTCCGCAAGATCTAGAACATCTTTGAAAATGGTCAACCCTCGAAACTGATTCTAGAGTTCTACGGTTTTTTCGAAAGCATGTGGTATAAGAAAGAATTCGGGGTCATGACATAAACACGTACCGGAGACGAACCAGCCCAGGGCTGAAAGTCTCCTTAATAAAGATAAAAAACACGGACCTGGATGGCCATAGGACCGTCCTCCGGAAGATACGGAACATCCGTAAAAGTGATCCAGAGGTTTCTTATATCACAGTGTTTAAAAAAGAGCTGCAGAGCTCTAGGATCAGTTTCACAGTATGATAAATTTACGGATGTTCCAGATCTTTTGAAGGACAGTCTCATGGCCATCCGGATCCATGTTTATGTCACGACCCTAAATTCTATCTTAAATCGCAGTTCCAAGAGTTTTCGAAAAAAAACCACGGTTTTTTCACAGTTTCATCGATGATCCACTTTTACGGATGATCAGGATCTTCTGGAGGACGTTCCAATGGCCATCCAGGTTCATTTTTACGGATCTTCCGGAGGACTGTCCCATGGTCATTCGGTTCCATGTTTATGTTAAGACTCCAAATTCATTCTAATATCACAGTTCCACGGTTTTTCGTTCTTGGATCAATTTTATGGCTTGCAATCGGGCTAAGGTCTTGTTGTCCTCTGCTGTCCGAAGAAGTCGTCTCCACTCTACTCGATCCATGGCCAGACTTTGCCAGCCTCGTAGTCTGCGAAGGGTCCGCAGGTCACCTTCTACTTGGTCGATCCATCTTGCGCGCTGCGCGCCTCTTCTTCTTGTTCCTGTTGGGGCGCTTTCGAGAACCATTTTCACTGGGTCGTTGTGCGGCATTCTTACGACATACCCAGCCTACCGTAGTCGCCCAATTTTTGCAATGTGAACGATGGATGGTTCTCCCAACAGCTGGTGCAATTCTTGGTTCATTCGCTTCCTCCACGTTCCGTCATCCAAGGGCGCGTTTGTCCTCCACGAGCATAGTCACGGTCTCGTGGCAGTAGACGACCACCAGTCTATCTTTTAGATAGTCAACTTCGTGGCGAATTTTATTCGACCGGAGCGTCCTCCGGAGTCCAAAGTAGGCACGATTCCCTGCCATAATGCGTCTTTGAAATTCTCTGCTGGTATCATTTTCGACGGTCACCAGTGAGCCCAAATACACGAACTCATCGACCACCTCGATTTCGTCACCGTCAATCTGAACTCGGGGTGGGAGGCTAACATTGTCTTCCCTAGAACCTCTTCCTTTCATGTATTTTGTGTTTAATGCGTTGATGGCAAGTCCAATCCACCTAGCTTCAGCCTTCAGTCTGATGTACGTTTCCGCCTTCGTCTCAAAGTTCCGTGCCATGATGTCGATGTCATCGGTGAAGCCAAGAAGCTGTCTTGATACTCGTGTCTATCCCAACTCTTCTGATCACACCTTCTAACGCGATGTTGAATAGCAGACACAAAAGTCCATCACCTTGCCGTAACCCCCTTCGAGATTCAAAGGGACTCGAGAGTGTCACTCGATGCATCGTTGCCTTGACCAATCGCGTCAGTTTATCTGGAAATCCGTACTCGTGCATAATCTGCCATAGCTGATCACGATCGATTGTGTCGTATGCGGATTTGAAATCGATGAACAAATGATGTGTAAGCAAGTTGTATTTGTGGCATTTCTGCAGAACCTGCCGAATCGCGAATATGAACCCATGAATTCCTGCTGGTATTGCCCAAGAAATCTCTTGCAAATGGTGACAGGCGGCGGCGTATAATTTGGGAGAGTACCTTGTAAGCGGCGCTCAGCAGTGTGATCACGCGGTAGTTGCAGCAATCCAACTTGTCGCCCTTTTTATAGATTGGGCATACAACACCTTACTTCACTCCTCCGGTAATATCCCCTCCTCCCAAATCTTGACAATTACCCAGTGCAGCGCTCTAGCCAGTGCTTCACCACCGTATTTTAATAGCTCACTTGGTTGTTGATCTACACCAGTTGCTTTGTTGTTCTTCAGTCGACCGATCTCCTCCTTAACTTCATGAAGATCAGGGGCCAGTAGCCTGTCGTCTCCTGCACGTGCTCCAAGGTCTGTTGCCGTGCCACCTTCGTTTTCTGCTGCATCACCGTTGAGGTGCTCGTCATAGTAATGCTTCACCCTCTCATTTTACGGATGTTGTTGGTCTTCCGGACGACGGTCCCATGGCTATCTGGGTACATGTTTAAGTCACGATCACAAATTCATTCTTATATCACAGTTCCTAATGTTTAGGTTCAGTTTCATTGATTAACCTCTTTTACGGATGTTCTGGACTTACCAGAGGTTGGCACCATGGTCATTTGAGTCCATGTTTATGTCATGACCCCAAAATATTACTTATATCGCAGTTCCACATGCTTTCGAAAAAACCGTAGAACTCTAGAATCAGTTTCGAGGGTTGACCATTTTCAAAGATGTTCTAGATCTTGCGGAGGATGGTCCCATGGCCTTCTGGGTACATGTTTATGTCACGACTGCAAATTGATTTATATATGACAGTTCCAAGTGTTTTCGAAAAAAAAAAACCGTGGAGCTCTAGGATCAGTTCCATACATTGTCCACTTTTATGGATTTTTCGGATCTTCCGGAGGACGTTCCGATGGCCATCTGGGTCCATGTTTATGTTACGATCCCAAAATCATTCTAATATCGCAGTTCCTAACGTTTTCAAGAAAACCACGGAGCTCTAGGATCAGTTTCGTGAATTTTCAACTTTCACGAATGTTCCGGATCTTTCGGAGGACGATCCCATGGACAGCCAGGTTCATGTTTATGTCACAAGCCCAAATTCTTTCTATCATCACAGTTCCTAATGTTTATAAAAAAAAAACACGGAGCTCTAGGATCAGGATCGTGGATTTACCACTTTCACGGATGTTCCGGATCTTCCGCTGGCGGTCCGATGGCCATCTTGGTCCATGACCCAAATTCATTCTTATATCACAGATCCTAATGTTGAAAAAAAACGCGTAGCTCTAGGATCAGTTTCATGGGTTGATCACTTTTACGGATGTTCCGGATCTTCCGGAGGACGGTCCTATGGACATCCAGGTTCATGTTTATGTCACAAGCCCAAATTATTTCTATCATCACAGTTCCTAATGTTTATAAAAAAAACGCGGAGCTCTAGGATCAGGATCGTGGATTTACTACTTTTACGGATGTTCCGGATCTTCCGAAGGACGGTCCCATGGCCATCTGGGTCCATGACCCAAATTCATTCTTATATCACAGATCCTAATGTTAAAAAAAAACACGGAGCTCTAGGATCAGATTCATGGATTGTCCACTTTTACGGATGTTCCGGAACTTCCGGAGGACGGTCCCATGGTCATCCAGCTACATGTTTATGTCACGACCCCAAATATTTGTTTATATCACAGTTCCTAATGTTTTCAAAAAACCGCAGAGCTCTAGGATCAGGATCATGGATTGACCATTTTTACGGATGTTCCGGATTTTTCGAGGACCGTTCCGTTGTCTCCAGGATCCATATATAGGAACCATGACTGTATTCTGGCTAATTGTGAACATTTGTGCTCATTAATCTAAATTACAGATCTTGCGCCACTTGCAAAACCCTACAAACACACCTTTCAAAAAAACGTGTAACAGCTCTTTTCGCTTTTTAAAAAAGTAGACGACTCTATTTTCAAGTTTTTTGCAATCAAAATCATCTAGGAACCCTAGGAATTCTAAAGGTACCATAATTTTTGAAATTCATTAAGAAATGGCTAAGTTGTGTCATTGCAAACTTGCCGTTACACGTTTTTCGGAGGCTTCGTAGTCGGCGTAAAGTTTTTTACCCACCGTATTCGGAGTGTTAATGGCCCTTCGCTCATTTTCAACTTCTATTCAATTTTCATACTGCCGTACTCTAACGGAACTATCCACCTACATTCTTCTAAAGATCATTCTCTAGCTAATAAATCATCACACTAAAGCTTCATGTTAGCATTTCCAACCAACTCTGAAAATCGTTAACTTCGCGTATGAAGTAACATAAAAAACACTTTGAATGTTCTATATTATTCATGGTTTTTCTAAAATTCCCTACCTCCCTTGTAAACTTATTGTTTAAATCTTACGTTATAAGTGCATGATACCTTACGCAAATCAGTGAAAGTCTCTTTAATAAAGAAAACTTATCTAATCTTACTCTAATCGTCACGAGTTCAAATCTCATCCCCAGACATGCCACGAATGTCCTAAAAGGTGTTAAAGTGACTATATCTAACAAAACGAATTAATATACGAGTATACGCCAAATTTCAGGTGGTTCCTAACGTCCAAATAAGAAGAAGAGGAATGATGATTATATTATTAATTCTGCTCCGTATGATATGATATAAGAACAATTTGGAAAATAACCCAAATTTTTTTTTTATTTTTATTTTTTCATCACAGGTCCCAGTGGGATTCAAGTCAAACGGAAAGCCCGGTCGCATCTATCATTGGAATATCCCCGTACTGAAGAAAATCCTCGGAAACAATCAAGGACGAAACCCTAATTCGCGCCATCATGACAACATTGACGAGCTGATCGACATTAAGGATATTCCAACGTGGAGTAAACCATGGGAGAATGAAGCGTTGGATAAATCGTTAATCAAATTCAGCGCTGCAGACCATGCGGAGAAACTTCAGAAGAAGAAATCTCCGACGTATTACGCACCTATCAAGGCCAAAAAAAGTGCTCATGGAAAGATCTATGCAAGCAATGGCAAACCACAGAGCTTCTACGTGATTGAGAAGAGCCTCCAAAAAAATCTGAAACCCATTCAACATCACAAACTGATTCCGTAAGAGGAATTACACCGATAACGATCTTCTTGCCAGTTTGTCGAGTAGTAGAGGATGGAGAATAGGTAGTAAATAAGGGAGGTTAAATCGTGTAACTTGAAGCTCACTGCGAGCATATAAAACAACGTACACACACATTGAGCTTTATGAATAATACAAGAGAGCTTTTCTATAGAAGAAAAGGCGTTACGAGGTCTTTGGTTGGTGTCTTTGGTGATCGTTCATCGAGTCGTTCGTGAGATTGATCGATTTCGATGGAATAGTTGCAAAGACAGCAACCGAAATGGTCATTTTTCGGATCATATTTATTTTTATCTCAGCTAAATCTGGGTATTAACGAACGAAATAAATGCGCACATTTTTAATATTAATAACAAATAATTTTAAGATTATATATAGATAGCTAGGCGTAGATCTTTAATCGAAAGCAATTGAAAGACTAAAATTTTTATGGTAGTATTTAAGGGAAATGTAAAATACATACAAAATATTGACGATAACGATAAGAATTATCATCGCTTCTACGGAACTTAACAAGATTTTGGACTTCCATTTCTCTAATGTTTAGATACTGCAAGACCGGTTCCAAGTGCATCATTCCAATTCAGTGATAAATTTTGTAAAAATATATCTCGTAACAAAACGTCTTTACACGTTTCATAATAAATACATTTTTAAAATAGATGTTAAATTTCTTATTGGGTGTCCGAACAGCCATAAGCATTAGACTGATGCAAAATTTGAAATTTTCGCTCCACAGTTCTTAAACTGTTCCAAATTGGGTCCTGCTTAGCCTCCCAAAATTTGAACTACTTTAGTAAGAAACTGACTTGGCACAAACCATTTCAAGTTTATTTCGAAATTACTATAGGAAAACTTATGTTTTTGTTCATATCTATCTAACAGGTCACCACATCACTAAGCTTTTAAAAATGATAGCATTGATTGTAGACAATTTTCTCAGCTACAACTTTGTTGGAAACCACTTTTCAATCAAATGTAAGGAAAACAATTAATAACAATTTAATTTGACTATTGGCTGAAAAACGATATGGCGCAAAGTTGTAGCTTAGAAAATATCCCGTAAGAATGACTATAGAAATTTTCGAAAAAGCGATATGGAAAATAGGCAGAAGACAATGAACAAAAAGTTTGGTTTTCCCATTGTAATTTCCATATAAACTTCCAATAGCTATAGAAATTTTCACAAAGTCAGTTTCTTACCAAATGAGTTTAAATTTTGGGAGGCTAATCAGGACCTTATTTTAAATCGTTAGAGCACTGTGGAGTGAAAATTTCAAATTTTGCATCAGTCTAATAAGCATGCTCACAGAAGGGAGGCAAGTATTGTTTCTACATTATAGAAACTTTGGATCAGGATCGTATAGCTGAAATGCATTTTCAAATTAGTTGGATTTGCGGAATTACTCACGAATACATATGGAAGTGTGACTTTTTAAATATAGTTTAAAGCATCTGCATTTATCCACCTATGGTGAGATCTAACCCTAACTTACTATTTCAAATTCCATCAGAATTGCTCACAACAGTCCGCATTCAGAGAAAATAATAAAGATGACTTCTGTAAATTACGTCCTTTGTATTATGGTTAGCGAAAAAAACTTTGTAAACTCTACAAGGGCCCATCCTATTTTTGCGATATCTTCGAATATTTTAATAACTCAAATGATTGGTAAGTAATTGATTTCTTTATGGTGGGGATAACTAAGTTAAGTCCCACTTTTTTGTTCTTAAAACAGTGGGTTCTAAAGTTTTTACAATATAAATTTTTAAGGGTTCCTACTAGTGCTGTAACGATATTGATAAGTCCGATATTATCAATAAATATCGGGTCTACATTATCGATACGATAACCGATATTTAAACAA